CGTAGGACGTACTCAACGCACACTGCGGAACACGTTACAGTTCGGACTCGATGAACCGTCTCGTTTTTGTTGAGTGCTCCTTGCAACGCCACACTACAGCTAACTGCGAACCCATAAATATGGACTCTACTTGAGTCGATGTCGGGCTGTGTTGAGGTTTGGTTGATTCCGATACGATTAGCTCAAGTTCTCTGAGTCGACGCAGTATTACGACAAGACACCAACATTCACCGGTTGGTTCATACATTCTCGTACCAACATTCCCGATGAATGTTGGAGACGGGTCCAGACGGCGGGCCGAAATAAAAATATTGCAAAAAATGGCATATTTTTATATCATGAGCCTACTGAAAAAGAGATATATGAAGCTCGCTCGATTAAAATTGCGGTCCATTCACTGGACTTTATTCCTACGTTTACCACATTCACAAGGAGAACTCGACGACGACGATGGTGATATCCGACGCCAATGATGCGAGGAAGCGGCTGCTGGACGCCATGGCGCAGAAGACCCAAAACCAGCATGCGAACAGCCACGTGAATTCCATCAACACATTCGAGCGACCCAGCGTCCATGACATTGGAGTCGGCCGATCGGCGTTTCAAGGACCATCAGCAACCGCTGCATCTGCCCCAATGGGAATCCCAAGCAATTTCCTGCGCAATTTGTACGGGTTCCTCAATAACAACTTGCTTCCAGACACGATTGCCTGGGACGCCGACGGTCGATCGTTCTCGATCTTGGACGCAGACAAGATGGAGACCTCCTTGCCGATGCCGAACCTTTACCGAGGTCGATTCAAAACATTCAAGATGCAGCTCGAGAAGCATGGTTTCATGAAGTCGTCTGATGGAACCCGGTACTTTCGACCGGACTTTGTCAAAGGACAGCCACAGCACCTCGGGGACGTCGACATGTCGCCATCAGCCGTCTCGCCGTCATCGTTTGATGAGATCATGGACGACTCCACGTCAGCAGGAAGCAGGTCCCCTATGAGTTTGGAGTGCCGCATTCAGTTTCCCAAGAAACGACGGCTGCACGAAGACTCGAGAGCGGCCTCCGACCCAAGCACCCAACCGTTTTGGAATTCCCTTCACGATCAACCCCACCACAACGCGTCCACTACAACGTCTGGTCTCCTCTGCAGTGTCAGTTTGTCCAAACACCGTGTCGGCGCGGCGGTCGCTGCCCCCGCAACCGCTCCACACCAGCATCACCTCCACCCTCCATCTATTCCGTCGCTGCGGCCACATCACGACAACATGCAAGCACGCCTCCCCTCCATCAATCGAGCGTTTCCGCTGTTTGGATTGAACAAACAAGTGGCCGCCCCAGCCCCCAACACAGGGCAGTGATGCCCTCTATTACGCTATAAACAAACACCTCCGCTCTCACAAGTTGTGCACCGCCAGCAAATCTTCGAGCTCATCCACGTCAAACTCGAGCAGCACATCGTCGTCGTCGTCGTGGGCTGGAGTACCATCACTCTCGACCTTGATCTCTGAATGCAGGTCTATTGTCGACACAAAGCAGTGCGGTGTGTGGTCGCTGGCGGCCAGGTGGCGGGACGCGTCGTCCCCGTCAATGGAGGACGTAGTCGTGGAAGCCGCGCTGGACGGCACCGGGGATTCGGGGGCTTGCGCCGACTTACTTGGGTTGCCCTGGATGATGTTGTCGAGCAGCTGCAACACTTCGCCGTCCTGCAACTCGGAGAATTCCTTGCGCTCGACGTGGAGGAATTCTTTGACGCGTTCGAGAAAGAGATGCGTCATGCCAAACATTTGTGCTGGAGCAAGTTGTTGATGGTCAAACAGGGAGGAAGGGTTCGGTAGTACCTGATGCGAGCATGTCGCGAATGGCTTGGACAGCTTCAATGTACCGAGCGGACTCGTTGTCTCCGAGAGGTCGCGTAGTCGGGGCATACGACTCGACGATTTTGTCTTCAACTTTCTTGACGGTTTTGACGTCGTCGGGCTGCGTAGCACGCGACCGCTTGTCCTGTTTGCGGCGCTATATGACAAGAAAGTGTCCATAAGATGTGTAGAAATCAAACGGCGAATATACGTACTTCGATCTTGGAGAGAAGGGAGCGATCATCTTGACGGAAAAAAGGGTGCGTGAATGCGGGAGGGTCGGCGCCATTTACAACCCCGATGTGGGAAAAGTCGTATGCTACAAAGACGTTTGTCGCAAACAAAGCCATAGAAACTAACCGCGCACCGTTAAGCTGGCGAATGAACGAGCAATACTTGGACCCGCGAAAGTACTGCGGCATCACCACTTCCGAAAACTTCTGCTCATGGAGATGTAAACGTCACCACTCGACCATCAGCATGGGTGTACCGTTTTGTCCAGGACAACAAGACTGTGCGGCTCGACAAGGGCTCCATCTGCGCCGCGCTTCCATGTGATGACGTCGTCTTCATCGTCAAGTATAAGGCACAGTGCGACTGCGAGACCCTAGGACGAACCTGTAGCAGGATCGTTGACTACTTGGTCAAGCTTCATGACAAAGGCAGAGACAGCTCCACTCGGCTTCGTGGATGGCTTCAAGCCTATGCATGGCGTCGCCATCAACATCTCCAGGCGTCCTTCTCGTCGCACCTGAGTTCACCATGTTCGTCTTGTACGCGTTCTTCGGCGATTCTCTGAGTCTCGTCTCGTAACACTATTTTCCCACATGGGAGGGAATCACACTATTTCGTGATCATTAATCCAATCGATGGAGGTATCCGCATAAATCGGCCAATCAAAAATAATCTGTTTTGTCCAATCGAAAGATCGCATTTCTTGAGAATGTATTTTTAGTCCATTATTTTGTCCAATCCAGTCGCGCGGAGAAGTATATTGGTATTTGTATGCATGCATTTCCCCCAACCCTACCTCACATGCCAACCCTAGATAGTTCCGAGCCATTTATATGGGAATTTGTATATATCGAGCCCAGCCTAGCCGTCGGTAGTGGCGAGAATTGCTTGAGCGGTTATATGAGCATGAACAAGATGCTGCAGACGGTCAAGCGCCGTCTGAGCAACTCGTCCGAGGGGGACCTCGCCGCGGTGAGTCAGCTGCATCTGGCGTCGGGGGTAAGCATGGGGGCCAATTCGTCCCAGGGATCCACGCGCGACGACGGAATTGAAAACGTGGCGCGATCCGACGTGTCCTTGCCAAAACGTGAACGGCGCCGCAGCTCGCTCGTCCGCAACCAAAAGGTGGCCGCATTGAAGGACCTTCCCCATCTCAAAGACACGAACATGCAAAAACGCGAGGCGTTGTTCCAGCAAAAACTCGAATTGTGCTCGGTCCTGTTTAACTTTGAAGACGCCGCGTCCGACAAGAAGGGCAAGGACCTCAAACGGCAAACGTTGTTGGAGCTTGTCGACTACGTTAACAATGCTGGTGGGCAAAAGATCTTTACCGAAGCACTCATGCCCGACATCATGGCCATGGTGGTATGTCCACCTGTACCTTCCCCTGTCCACGATTCCATTTTATGTTCAACGTGTGGTGCGCTGTAGTCGGCCAACATTTGCCGCGCGTTGCCGCCGCAAACGGAGGATTTTGACCCTGAAGAGGACGAACCTGTGCTGGAACCGTCCTGGCCCCACTTGCAGGTACCGTGGATGGCGTCGGTCGCGTGTTGTGGTGAATGCCCGTCTCTCTCATCTCGATCGGCAGACACCTTGCTCATACGGCACGTCCTTCTCCAATGAACTTTAGGTCGTATACGAATTCTTTCTGCGCTTCATTGTGTCGGGGGAGGTCAATGCCAAGGTAGGACCGCGCGCCACGGGGGCGGGAATTTTACAACCACGTTGCACGTAGGTGGCCAAGAAGTTTGTCGACCAAAAGTTCTGCTCAAACGTGATCGAGCTGTTTGACAGCGAGGACCCGCGCGAACGGGATTACCTCAAGACGATTCTCCACCGCATTTACGGCAAGTTTATGTCGCATCGGTCGTTCATCCGCAAGGCGATTTCGAATGTGTTTTACCGGTTTGTGTACGAGACGGAGCGACACAACGGAATTGGGGAGCTGCTCGAGATCCTCGGGAGCATCATCAACGGGTTTGCCATGCCGCTCAAGCGCGAACACTTGCAGTTCCTCGTGAAAGCGCTCGTCCCGCTGCACAAGCCCAAGTGCGTGAGCTTGTACCACCAGCAACTGTCGTACTGCATCACGCAGTACGTGGAAAAAGATCCCGACACGGCGATCCCGATCATCTCGGGCATCGTCAAGTTTTGGCCGTGGGCATGCTCGTCCAAGCAAGTGCTGTTTTTGAACGAACTCGAAGAGATCCTCGAGCTCATGGGGCCCGACCAGCTGCAGCAAATCCACAAAGAGCTCTTCCGCGTCTTGTCCAAGTGCCTCGGCAGCCAGCATTTCCAAGTGAGCGAGCGGGCGCTTTTCCTCTGGAACAATGAACATCTCGTCAACAACGGGTGCCTCAGTCGCCAGCACGCAGGGTTGATCTTGCCCGTCATATACGGTCCGCTCTACAAGAACTCGCTCGGCCACTGGAACACGACCGTCGAAGGCCTTGCGCAGAACGTGCTCAAGCTGTACATGGACTACGACATGGCGCTGTTTGACAAGTGTGCCAAGGAGTACCTGGCCAAGGAAGAGCGGGTCGTCGAGAAGGTCACGGCACAGGCCGACAAGTGGAAAAAGATAGAGATCCTCGCTGAATCCAAGGCGCGGGAAGCGGCCCATTGAGCCGCGTTTGGACCACACATGTACTAGTCATGACTTCACCCCGTGTTATATTCCTAAATTGCTGCTTGTGCTTGCGTCTCGGCCACAGTTTGAATGCACAAGGTTGCGCGAGCTGCAACGGATTGCCCTCCAAACAGCTCGAGGTGGATTTCGACTGCCGCTTGCAGGGAATCACAGCGACATGTCCATCTTGGACCGACAGCCGACGTGCGTGGTGGGCAGACCAGCACCGCTGCAAGCAATGTGGCTCGGTGCTCACCCGAGATCTCGCAGTTCGGCCGCTTTCATTCATGGAAACCAACAAAGAGAATAAAAAATTCCGTCATTTTTTAAACTCTTTTTGGCCAATTGAATCGCTCCATTTGTCGGTTTCGCTTTGGAATGTCACCGCTGCAAGCGGCTCACTTCATGATCGCCGCCGCATCATGATGGAATGGAGAAGGATATACCGGTGGGCCTTGCTTGTTTACTATCTTGGCAGTGAGTCCGTTAAAGCAGTTGCACAGGACGACGCCGTCCTTGCATGCACCGTGAGAGCGCCGCAGTACTTGTCTATTGAGCACAAGGCAGCCCTTTGTGCAGGCGTTCATCTCGACACAGCGACAGCACCTGCGGACTGCGCATGTGAACTGAAACTCCACCTGGGCACAGCTACGTCATCCGAGATTGCCTTGACACTGTGCAGTGGAGCCACGAGCGTCGGTCCCGCAACTTGCTTCCGTACCGTCAATGCCTTCTCCTTTACTATCCTGCCAATGCCTCAGTTGTTGACCCTTTGTCGCGGGGTTGCAGACGAGGAGAACGCATTGTGCTTCCACCACCTCCACCGCAAACTCCAACTAGACGTCAACTCAATCGTACTGCTCTGTACGCAGCCCAACGCATGGAGCTACGTCGATGAAATCGTGTCATGTTTCCAACGCCACACCACGTTGGCCAGCACAACCCGCCTGCGCTTATGCATGAAGCCGAGTCTCATTTCAGACGCAACACTGGCGTGCTTGCAAACACTTTCCCATCGGTACACGTTGGCCTCAGATCGCGACGACCTCTTTCCACTGTGTCTGTCGCGCTCTCCGCACCATGCTCTCTCATGCGTCGAGGCGGCTCCGTGGGGATACACTGTGTCGTTTAAAACCGCGCTGTGTATCAACGCGACGGGTGTAGGGCCAGCAGAGTGCTTGAAAGGACTCATGGGGGCATCCACTTGGACAAACGACGACAAACTCAGCCTCTGCAGCGGCGCCACCTCGTCCAAGGTACCACCAGCTCGACAGCATTTGGCATACATATCACACTGTGTGTGGCTAGCGCATCGATTGTGTGCTCAAGCTGTCTTCGCGCTATTCAATTCGCCAGAAAGTTGCCCTCTGCGCACACGACCATGACACTCCGCTCCGGTGCACCCGCACCATCAAAGGGCTGCCGCCAACAGGAGACGAGATTGCCATTTGTGGACGTGCGTCATCCCTCGGACCAGCGGAGTGCTTCAATGTGGACACGGGTCTCTCGACAGCGCTCAAGGTCGAGCTATGTGCGAACGGCGGGAATCGGGACCGCGCTCAATGCGTTCTGCGGCTGCGTTCCATGCTGCATTCGTTCACCGCGCACGACTTGGTGCAGCTCTGTGCCGCCGTGACGACCCCCGACGAGCTCCCGAGTCTCATGCAGTGCCTCACCACGGGATTTCGTGCAGTTCTCGCAGCTCGGGACGTCATTCACGTTTGCAAGGGTGCTTCGTCGGCTGCGCCTGCGCGCTGTCTCCAGGAACATCTAGCTGGGTGGTCATCGTCCGAGAAGGCGGCGCTGTGCTATTCGGCGACGGACTTGTCGCCTGTGGACTGCATTCGTAGGTTAGGCCCGACGACGTTGCTGCAGCGACGACACCAAGTCCAGTTGTGCGTTGGGGCCACGGCCCCCGTTTTCCCCGCCATTTGCGCGAAATCGGCTCCGCCAAGGTTCGTCCATCCGGTCGACCGCGTTCGCCTCTGTGCACAAGCATCCACATCGTTTCCTTTGGACTGCGCCGCGAGTTTGCCATCCACTCACCCGAGTGTTGTTGCGGCCGTGTGCAGTCAAGTGGCATCGCTTGCTCCGGCCGAGTGCATCCAAGCTGCGCTTCGAAGCGGGTCCAAGCTCACGCAGTCCGTCATCGCACGGTGTCGGTCGGTGTCGTCATTCCCTGCCATGCTCTCACTCGCCTCTGTCATCAAGGAATGTCCTGTCCTTGTACCCCACTGTCCAGTGACCATTGAGCTGCATGTACTGGATCAGGTTCTTCTTGCTCGTCTCCGTCATCCTTTGTCGGATCTTCACATGGTTGCGAAATGCCTAGTTTGGCCATCGCATGCTCACGTATGGGCTCCATCCGTCGGCAGGGTCCATCGATTCCAACCATTCGATGCGACTGACGGCGGCATTTCAAAGCCAGCCATGTCTTGCTCTTGGCAAACGCGAGCCTGTCGTCGATGGCAGGTCGACGTTCCGCATGGCGTTTCCGCATGCTGGTCACTTCCGCCTCGTTCTCGCGCTTGCCAACATCACTGTTCTCCATCTTCCAGTGCATGTTCAGGAAGACCCGGGCGCAGTAGCATGGACGGCTTCCTGCGATCGCATCTTTCGGTCGCATCTCCAGTGCATCCCATCGTCAGCTACGTTTCCATCCTATCAGGTAGCTCTATCTTTCGATCGGCGGTTGTTTATATGACCGACCCGATGTTTCTCCAGCGATGCTTTACCTCACTCGCTACTCTTTCGGACTAGTTTTTGCAAGTCGACGCTGTGGCGAACACGCTCTTGGCCGTAGTGTGTGCGGGCACATTGGAGCTCCTGGAGCCGCTGAGTCCATCGTTGTCCACGTCGGCGCGAGCCATCGCCGCCGCCCCGTGGCTTCCATATCACATGCATTTGTACGATTCCCTGCACCGAGTCGAGATCTGTGTCAAAGTAACGCGATGGCTAGGCAAGTGCCGCTGAGTCCGTGGGAAGTTCTTCGCATCCCCGACAACGCCACTCTCGACGTAGTCCGAGCGGCATATCGACACCAATCGCTTGTGTACCATCCCGATCGGAGTGCCGCGGCTGCTGCCACGTACTTTGATAGCGTTCGGTCCGCGTACGAAGCTGCAGTGCACCTCGACGATCAAAATCGGAGTATTCGCGTCGATAAATAGTAGACAGCACAAGTGGTGCACACGACTTACTCTAAGGTGTACACGTGGTCTTCGTCCTCTTTCAACATCGGGCCGTGCATCTGCAGCGGTAGATGATGCGGTTTCCGCGGTGACAGAGGAGACGATGGGGTCTGCGATGTCGCGATGATGCGAAACGAGTTGAATTTGGCGGGGGTGTTCTTGTTGATCCCGGGCACAGCTTGGCCTTCGTTCGTTGGAGGCTGCTCGGGCGCCGCGCTTTGGTCCGAAGCGTCGCCAGTCGCCGTGGGGGAATGCTGCAACCGGCGGATTTCTACCTCGTAGTGCGCGATGTTGGCACGGAGGTTGGTCATGCAATGGTCCAGTTCTGGGAAGAACTGGACCAGCGCCACCCACAACGGGGCGACAAGGCGCGCTGCAAAAAAGTGCTGGCTTTCTACCATGAGCAGCGGGTCGTCCACGTGCTCGTGGGTGACAGGGAGCCCTTCCGCGCTCTCCATGAGCGCTTGGTATGCAAATTCTTTTGCAATCATGTTGCTCCATTTAAGAGCAATGTGCTTGGGGAAGACTTGGGCACTTAGATCTGCGGCGTGCACCACGGCTTTGACCAAGAAGAGCCGATCGTCTTCGGAGTTTTCAAACACGCGCCACGGCGGCGGCGGCGATGGCGGAATCGACAGCTCATCTAGAGGTTCTCCATTCGTTTCGATGGGCGAACAGGAGTCTCCAGACGACGTCGAGGCAGACGAGGAATGCGACGACGAGAGCGCCGGGTGGATATGGTCCGTGATGCCTTTGACGGGGGACATGGCGGTGGGCAGTGGCTGGAAGCGGGACACGAGTGCGTCAATCGTGTCGTTATGGATCGCCATGTCGGTGCCTAGGATGGCGCGCACGATCGCTTTGCGGACGTATCGAAAGTCCGACGTGGAAAACGCGGCAAAGACATTGACGCGGGGGTCTTGGAGGAGGCGGAACGTCGTGGCGGCGTGATGTCGCTCGAGAACAGCGTCGTCGTTGTGGGTGAGAGCAAGCGGCGAATTCGAGTGGATTTCAAACAAATTCGAGTGGCCAGGGTGGTCAATGTCGTGGCACAGACTCGCAACGAGACACGCGAGGCGGTCCAACGGGTGGAGCACACGGCCCGCGTGGGTATCGGAAAGAATGCGGTACGACACATGGAGGACAGAGAAACCGTGCTGAAAATTGTGGAACGGGTTCGGGTGGTAGTGATCATGGACGACTTGGAGGAAGGCCCGCAAGGTCGGCACGTCAATCTCGTGCGGCCCCGACATGCGTTGGTCTCGAAGCATGTGCTCGGCGTATCCCAAGAGTTGCTCGGTGTCGTGGGTGAAGACGTCGAGGTCCCAGCCCGGCACAGTCAGGTCGTTGCCTGCGTCAGGATCCATCGAGTAGCGTCGGGGAGATAGCACAAGTGGTTTTAGCGGGAGGGCGAGAGGGGACGGCGGTAAGACAGCGGACGTCGACGATGTTCTGTCCCGAAGATGAAAGGTGTCGATGAGGAGATGCGGTGGGGGGCGGAGTCGACGAGACGAGCCACCATGGATTGCGCTTGGATTGGCGACAGGAGACGATGGGGTGGTGGCAGTGGAGACCGACCGTGCGTCACGTAGAATGGACGACAGCGGTTGATGTGTCCCGCCGTCCAGCGGTATGGACGCGAGTTCTGCCGCCGAATCCCCCAAAAGCTTCAGGTACTCGGTGTCGTGCGCTCTCCGTCGCAGCACGACGGCCACTTCGCTCGCGTACGCTTCAAACGCGCACTCGTCGTCATTCGTAAACCCTTCTGTCGAGAGAGACGACCCGTCCGGTTTTAATTTATTCACGCATTCGAGGACAGCCATGGGCGGGGCTGCGTCCGCGGTGCCGTGGGGAATCCCGATCGGCACGTACAACGCTGTGACGATACCCGTCTGTAACGGATCGTCCACAGCCCCGTGGAAACGCGGGTCGGTGGCGGCATCCCGAACGTTAATGATGGAGCCTAAACGGTCGTCGGTTGAAGGATGCATGGAGACTGATGGACAATACGACGGACTGTACCTGTTAGAACAGCTTCGCCCAATAGGCACGACGTGTCAACGCGAACGCGAGTGTGGCGAAACGTGGGCTGCAGCGACCACAGCTCTTTGCGCGGCCAGTCAACGAGGAACAGCGTGACGCGCTGCGCGTGCACGATGTGACTCGACCCGTTGATCACGCGCTCCATCAGCTTAAGAATGGTTTCTTCGGTGGACGACGAGTTGACGAGATGCAGAAGCGCAGCTTGAGTACGATGTCGAAGCACGATGTCGTGGAATTCGATGGATTTGCGAAAACATTGACTCAAGATGGGGCCGACGCGCTGGAGAAGGGTGACGTCCGTCGAGGACAGCCCAGGCAGAGGTGATCGGACTTGAAGGACAGCAAACACAGACTCCGACGAGTTAAACAGCGGGACGCACGATAAGCATAGGCTTGACGAACATGCGATGTCAACGTCGGGGTCATAGGTCGCCGCAAAATCCGTCCCTACAAACGGGACCCCTGTGCGGGCGACGGCTCCAGCGAGACCTCGTTCCAACGAGATAGGGTCGGCCGTGATATCCGTCGAGTCGAGTTTGGCCATCGACGATGTGTTCTCGTCCACGAGAAGCACGATTGACGCGACAGCAGACGCATCCGTGGTTGAAAAGAACAACGTACGAACTTGGTCGGAAAGGACATCTGCAATCGAGAACAAGTCTTCCTGCATGAGGACTTTTTCCACGAGACCGAACATGCCTCGTTCCTTGCTCACGAGAGACACCGATTCATCTTGCGTTGCTTCGCCCATTTCCGCGTGCGGCGTCGATATAGAAGCCATCGACGCTTCGCCGCCGCGATGTGTGTGGTGGCCAGATGGGGTGTCGCAGGAAAAAACGGCCCGTAGGATACCTATCCGGAAACGCCGGATAAAACCACGTGGCTGTTCCTCGAGTGATAGGTATGAAATGGGTGTCGCAACGGAAGACCGTGTCGCACGAGCGGCGGCAGCGCCACGGGACATGGTCGTTGTTGATGCGAGAGCGATGGGACACGTGGACACCTCGTTCGATTTCGCTCACAAATCGCAACGATGTTCTTTCCTCTGCTTGTCGCGAGTCGACGGGTGACATCGCAGCCCTCACGACGCCTGGACGACTAAGCCAAGGTTTCTCAGCGGACAAAGGTAACGAGCTGAAGCTCCCTATGCAATGCCGAGAGCTAGGGCTCGTGCGCTTCCGCATCCCAGCGCATTACGCGTAACAGAGGTATCGCGAGCGAGGGGAGGCCCGTTCAAAGGCGATGGACAACTCAAATTTAAAATGCATTTAAAATTCCATGTTGTAGTTCTGCTCTATGGCGAGTGGTTTTAAAATATCCGATTGGAAATCCAACCAACAACTCCTTCGCATTACTAGTACTCGACATCGTAGTACTATTAGTATGCTACTATGTTGAAGTTCCACTCTCCCACAACTTTTTAAAGGGGGGGGGCATCAAAAATATGCATCATATTGTTCCGCAATGAGTGCTTCATACTTTTGGTGGGTCCTCCCATCGTGGGTGGAATCATCCGGAATTTAACCGGATATCACATCTGTTCTGTTTGCAGTTGAGTAATAAAAATACGCGACGTTTTTGTATTGCAACTTCAGAAACGAACAGAGATCTCGTCGGCGCGCTCCCATTCGAAGCTGCCGCATCTTCCACGTTCCCGACTTCCGTTGCTCCTTCAGCTTGCTATCTCGTCCCGACGACGCCGTTGCTTGAGCTGTGAACTTCGTGGACGTATCCGCGCGAGCTGATTTGAATCCCGTCCTCGCGACGTATCCTGATCGAACATTGTTCCGAACGAGGCGACACTGCTGAAATGGCTTTGTGTGCCTTTGAGAAGGGCAAAAAGGTGTCCCCGTTGAGCGAAAGCTGGTTGTCACCGTCCATGGTCGACACGTACGATGGGCAAACCATCATTATCGCTCAGCAGGAAAAGTTCCGTCTGGGCAACTACCTCGGTTCTGGAATCGCCGGTGTCGTGTATGAAGCGATGGAATTGAAAAAGCATCGACATGTGGCCGTAAAAATTTTGAACCCCGTTGGATACAAGCTGTTCTTTCCACAAGCATTGGCGCGATGTGAAGTCATTCGAGCTGGGGCTGTTTACAACCACGAGAAGCGACCTCAATCGCCAGGGGGTACCCCCGCCATGCCCCTCGAGAAAGGCCATGTGTGGTGGTTGCTCCATCCAAACCAGCACGAATTGATTCCATGCTACAAGGACGCTCAATCAGGGATGATCAAAGAGATGACGCTCGACATGTGTGTAGCACTGTGGCCTCTGGACGCGAACAATGGCGACGACGATCCTCTCGAGACCGACATCGACATGGCGTCACCTGACGATGTGGTCGTGGTGGCGTCCCACACATGGCACATCCCGCACGTACCGAAGAAATACGCGGTGTTTCTTCAGAATCGCAGGACCATTTATCGCGAAATTGCCCACATGCATCGCCTCACGGGCAACACGATCGACAGTGGGCCGAGCGTTGAAAATGGACACGTGAATGTGCTGCAGTTGTTTGACGTGCTTGAGTTTGTACAGCCGTCCAAAACTACCATCTTCCTTGTGCTGGAACTCGCTTGCGGAGGCGAATTCTTCGACCGCATCAAGTTTGACGGTGGGCTGCAGGACGCCGACGCGCGAGTGTACTTTTCACAGCTCTTGGCTGGGGTGCAGTACTGCCATGAATTGGGCATCGTGCATCGGGACCTCAAGCCTGAGAACCTTCTCCTCGGCGACGGCGACGTTCTCAAGATCGCCGACTTCGGGCTCAGTGCCCATTGTATTGCTGCTGTGAGCACAAACACTGGCCACTACCTCTCATCGTCCATGGAGTCCCCTGCGTCATCGTCGGACGTGCTCGGGGTACCGGAGCTGCCGTCGCAAGTGAGACGTCTCAGGTCAGTTGTCGGGTCCCCGCATTACGTTGCTCCCGAAGTCACGCAAAAGTGTCATTTTGGTTATGACGGTCGCAAAGCTGACATGTGGTCCCTTGGCGTGATTCTGTACACGATGCTTGTCGGTGGCCTACCCTTTGGGAAAGACCTGAGCCACTGTCCAAGGTTTGCTCAGTTCAGTGCTTGGGTCACGTCGTCGGACGACGCGGTGGCGAGCTCTCGGGTCAAGTTTCCATCGTTCTTATTCCCGCCGTCGTTGCGCCCAGACGCTCTCCGTCTGCTCTGTAGTCTCCTTCACCCAGAACCGACGAAACGAAGTACATGCGCCGACGCGCTGAGATCGTCGTGGCTTGTCCAGCCCGAGTAGGTTCACCACTTGCGTCGTTGTGAGTTCATTATTTTATACACCGCATTGCACCGTTTGATTCACGCGCTGTCGTTGGTATCGATGTCACCGGCAGCGGGTGATGCCAAGGTTGTGTCACCACGGGTCGTCCATGGCGACGTCCACTGACTGGTGTTCCGCTGGACGCTGTAGTAGTACACAGTGCCTTCCGCATTCACGGCTGCACGCCACCCATCATGTGGGCGGGTCCACAACGACTCCCCCGTGATTTTGTGAACGACGTACGGCGTCGTGCCGTCTGTCGCATCTTCCCACTGATCTTCGTCGCCTGGCGTAGTCGACTTGGGCACTTCCCACGCGGATTCGCCAGTCGACGGGTTGTAATAGTATCGTTGGCCATGGTCGTCCACGATTTCTTCCCATCCTGGCGTTACGGCGTCGTGGGATGGCGTTGCCTGGGGGTTGTCCCATCGGCTCTCGCCCGTGAAGGCGTTGTAATAGTAGATGTCGCCTTGGTCGGTGTACGCGGATTCCCAGGTGTCCACGAGCGGTGCCAAGACAGGTCTCTGGATGCGGGGCTTTTCCCACTGGGTGACCCCCGACACGATGTTGTAGTAGTACACGTTGGCGTCGTCGGTCCCGCATGTTTCCCACTGCGATGGCGGCGAAGCTTGTTGAATCCATTTGATAAAGCGCGTCCACGTGATGCTCTGGGGGTACTGGAACTCCATGTGCGATGTTGCATACGCAATGTCGTCGGCCGCGTCTTGAACGGACCATCCCACCAGCGGGTACACGTCAGCGAGTTGGTCCACGCGTAAAATGGACGGGTTTTTGTTTTTCGCTGCAACAATGTCGAATGCTTGATGGAGTTGCAATTCTTCTGGCGAAGATGCTTTGTGTGGCACGGGAAGGACACTTCGCATGCGCATCACGCGCTTCCTCTCATGTCTTGCTCGGAACCGAGTTTGAAGCAGCACTGCGGCACGGTGGCGCTCCTCATGCGCCGCCATGTCCGTGTACTCCTTCCTCCGCGCGGCATCTTCTGTCTGCACCATGGCCGCTTGGTATCGCATAAAGTGGTCAGCGCCGTCATCCCCCTCCTGAAATTCGAGTCTATCAGACGACGTAAAGTGATTTGATGTTGTACCGCATCGTTGGTGCGAGCGAGAAAGATGTTGAACAGTCGGAGGATGCGCTTGTTGTACGGGTCCGCTTCCAACGCTCGCAAGTAGTGCTCCTTTGCTGGGTTTGCTTGGTCATAGACCCACTATGACGCCCAAAGATCAGAAAAATTTGAACGAACAACAGCGGCAGGGAGAATATAATACCTGGACGCATGCAGCATAGTTGAGGTTGCTCTGAGCATTCGTGGGAAACATGATCTGCGAGTACCGAAAGAACCCGAGGAACGCAAGCTGAAACTTCTTTTTTGGTTTGTCGATGGCGTCGGCCCGCTCAAACAACATGGCGATGTTGTCGACGTCTTCCTCTTCTGTCACGTACAAAAACAAAGCGTAGCATCGCAAGATGAACGGGACGTCCGGTCCACGCGCCGTCATGTACTCCATGAGACGGCTGTACAAAGGCCTCGCTCGATCGTAATCGTGGCGAATCGCGTGTAGGTACAGCACGTAGTTGCCCAGTCGCGTCAAGTTAAGAGGATCGTTGAGGTAATCGGCCTCGCAGCTGCGACAAATCGAGACGCCCTGCATGAGGCGGTGAAAGTAGACACGAGCTGTACGCATGCGAAACATGCTTTGCAGCGTGATGGCCGCGTGCAGCATTTGCGTCGTGTAGCCAAAGTAGTGCATTTGTTGGCGCTCCAAAAACTACGATTATTGTCGCGTGATGACAAGAGCATGGCAACACGCAATAAACAAACCTTGGCCCGGTCGTTTTCAACCCATGCAATTGGTTTGTCCCACACACATTGCCCGGTGATGTGGTTGCAGTAAAAGATGCCATGCGTTGAGCTGTTGGCGAGTTGCATTTCTTGCCACACTTGAAACGTTTGAAGGATGATGGCGTGTTTTCTGGCGTCGGCCCATTCGAAGTACGTCTGGGGACCTCGCTTCATCGCTTGGAGTTTCTTTGCACGGAAGCGACCGTGCATGCCTCGCCAGCACCGCTGAATATTCACAACCGCACGTCTCTCTAGCCGGTACTACAGCCAGGTACGAATAAGAGACTTTATGAGAGTGTCGATGATGTTGCTCACTTGAACTCGCCACGCATTGTTTCCGTTAGCTTCCCGGCACCGTACCAAAAACCCACGCACCAACGCTTCTATTTTGGTCGCGCAGCGGTGGCGATGTCGTTCGTGAGCCGCCGTCCGACGGGCGAGTTTGCCTCGATACGCGCGCTGGAGGTGGATTGCCATTTTGTGCTGAAGTTTGAGCTCGACAAATCGCTTATGGTAAAAGTACGCCCGAAATCGCGTTTGGATTTTGATGGCGGCTTGAGTTTCCAGCCGCAAAGTTTGAGCGTCTTTGGTAAAATCCGACCAAAACGCTCGGTACTTGGCCACCGATGCCACGGTCTCTGACGATACTTTGTGAATTCGACTTCGAAGCATCTTGTACTGGTCCATGCCTTGAATCAATGCCTGCAACAGTCGTCGTCAAGACGTGAATCGGCATGGGCTGGCTAGAAACCTGCAGCTTGTCCGGGTCCACGGGAGGCACAGTTGTCCGCACTTCTCCTGTTTGATCGTGAATGTAGACATATACTTTGGGTGTCGATTTGAACTCTTGTTCATTTTTGGCAGGCGCGGATTCGCCACCTCCAGTGCCGAGTTCCACTGCAGGTGTATCGTTGGTTGTTTCGTCAACGTCGAGGTTTTTCTGTTGTTCGACTCGCCAGTGCTGCCCCAGTGCTGCTTGGTACTCGATCGGGGCTCGCCACGTGCATACATTCGATGCCACGTCGTGGTAAAACAACCAGTCTGCGTACGATGGAAAGTCATGCATCAACATAAACGATTTGTTTGGCGGGCGCACGCACCAGTCGTCGGGTCGACGCATTGCGTCCACTCGTTCAACTGAGACAATCGGATGCTCGATGCCAAAGTCGCTTGCCAGTCCTCGTGCGATTTCGTCGGCAGCACTACACCGGTTTCGTCCACCAGGTCGGCGTCCATTCCAGCATCCTCCAACATCTTCAAATCATCGGCGTAATGCCGCTGAATCACTGCCACCACTGCCATGCGATTGAACATGCGCGCTTCGCCCAACGGGTTCTTGTTGTTAAAGTTTCGGGCGTTCATGTTGGTCGAGTATTGAATCAAGAGATCCATGGTGGCAGCCGCGCCAGCTCGAGCAGCAACGTGAGCAGGCTAGATGCAACGTACCCATGAGTGTCGTGAGTCAGCCATCCAACGTACTTGATTCCCACGAGAGTTTTTGCTGTCGACGGACGCGCCGTATGCCAACAACACCCGCGTTGACTCAATGTTGTCATCCGATGCGCACGCCAAGTGCAATGGCGTGTCGCTGTCTTTTGTGCGAAGGTTCACGTCGCCGTCGGCTTCGGCCAACAATCGAATTGCTTCGGCATGACCAATGGCCCAATGCATCGCAGACCTCGTTGCGACATTCACGATGTCGGGTGCCGCGCCCGCCGCCAAGATTTCCGTGAGAACGTTCGAGTGTTGGTTGAACACTGCATAGATGGCAGGTGTATTTCCATCCACATCTTGGGCGTCGACGTAAGCTTGTCGGGCGATAAGCATCCGAGCAATTTCGACGTAACCATGAGCAGCGCATTCGTGAAGAAGAGTCGCTCCATCCGCTACGAAATCTCGTTGTCAGGTTTTGCTAGTTGAGTGCAGCAGTGGACAATTTTCTACCAGGATCGATGATTGTGTTGGGATTGAACCCAGCCTCCAACAAAGCAGCAACGGCTTCGATCTGGTTCAGAGACGTAGCCAACCCGATGGCGTCTTGCTGCGCCGTCGTGAGCGCTTCGCGGTCGGCGGCTCTCGCCAATAGTGCTCGAATGCAGTCTGCATGACCCAGTGACGAAGCAAGAAGTAGAGGAGTGAGCCCGCGTCCGTCGCGGCATTCGTGCCACGCGCCATGGTCAATCATGTAATCGACCAACTCAGCTCGTTGTCTACAACCCAATATTCAGAGCTTGTGCATATGCGTACGTCGTTCATTCCGCGTACGAGTAGGTGGTAGCAATGATCGTGTGCAGCGGAGTTAAGGCCCCCGTCATGTTGACAGCGTTGATGTCCATGCCGTAGCGGAGACAGAGCTTGATGAGACGTTTCGATCCGGCCAAACACGCCAAGTGCAAGAGTGAGTTGCCGTCTTCGTCAAAGCTGTTCCACGCCGTCCCATTGTTGAAACTTCGCAGGACTACGTGGTAGTCACCGCGCCGTGCCGCTTGCCACAAAAACTCGTTTCGCATACGAGTGACAACAGCAACGGCTTTATTTCGCCGAAAGCGACACTGGATGCGAGTTGCCGCCTGGGTTTGTTTCTGCATTTCGTACACGATCCATTTCTGACGGTATCGTCGGTACGTTCGTTGGATCGCAACGGCGCTTCGATGGCGCCGAACAAATATTCGAAACGCTTGGCGACACCAATACCCTCGAAAGTAGCGCTGAATGACTGTGGCCGCCTCGAATTGGCGGCGAAACCTCTCTGCTTGTTTTCGGTGTCTTGCTACACGATAGGCGTGCAAGATGTAAAAGCACCATGTCCGCCGCCTGTGGACTCGGGCAGCTGCCATCGCTCGGATCTGACGCTCAAGCTCCCACTGGGTTTTGAACCCGTCAAAGGCATGGGATAGCGTCCGCAATAGCATCCGCCGTAGCAACGAGTTTGTCTAAGCCCAGCTATCATATAGAAAATTGACGACAAGTGAATGTACCCCTTGGGATTGATGGGCTCTCAGTTGCCGCTTCATCTGCGCAACTTTGCGGCCTTGTCGCCCTCGTGCGATTCGTTGGATGCATGTCGCAGCGGAATGTTCCTGGCGCCTCCTCCGCGCTCGATTTCGCCCCAAGTGCCCTCGGTAGTTCGTCTGGATAGTCAATGCCGCCGCCCGACGTCGAGGCAGAAGCCGTGTCCATTGCAAAAACGTTTCTTGAAGGTATCGCGCCATGCAATTCGCGAATCGGTGCTTGATTGTCAATTGTTGCTCGACAAAGGACGTCCAAGCTGCCCACACCTTGAACAACCGACGATTGAGTAGTCGATTCACGTTTCGTGCGGCCAATTGGTTCTTCTTGTCCCTAGCCCGTTTCATTCCACGTGCTTCGCGTCGTCCGCGCATGCCGCGGAATGCTGTTCAATGAATCATCACACCATCGATCCGAGGTAGTGGTTGGCTGTACCCGATTGAATTGTCGTTGCAGCATTCATCTCGACATGTGATATCTGGACAGCAGCCTTCCATCGGCCAAACAACCCCATGAGGGTGAGCTTTTGAGCATATTTCACGCGCTTTGAAACATCCCGGAATTTTTCCCACCGCTTGAACACTCGCGCAACGAGCCGTTCGTTCGCCAGCATCCCTCTGTCGAGGCATGGCACAACATAACAAACCGTGTAACGGAGCTGGCGACGTGTACCTTCGTTCAGCTTCAGCCGACGCGGCCTTTTTCAGCACGGCGTCTTCTTGCTTCTTTAACTTCGCTTGCACCTCCATGTCTCGTTTCTGTTTTTCTTGCATGCGCCCAAGATGTCTCTGTGCATCGCGATCACGCAATGCCTCGAGCCTCTTGCGTTCCAGCTCCTTCTCTGCTTTGCGCTTGAGTTTTTGCTGCCTCCTCGACTCGAGGTCAGCTTGTGCTGCTCTGCGTTCTCTGTGCCATGCCTACGTGGACACGATGTTATTGCGGACAAAAAATCTATGGTGTACATGCAACAAACACAAACGCACATACCCTTCGTTGACGAAAGACGCGCTGGATTTTGATCACGCAGCGCTCTTGCAGAGCTTCGAGTTGACTTGCCCAGCTCGCATCCGACGCATTTCGACGTTTTGCTTGAAGCACCTTTTTGAGCTTTGTTTCGAGCAACAGGTCGTGGTGGCAAGCTGCCACAAACTCGCATACGCGAGCTAAAATATTGTCAAGTGGAAGGAGTTGTGTTGTTGGCACTTTGGACGCGTCCCGTAATACCGACGACCACACTTCGTTGATCTACAAATCGTTCGAATTCAATCTGCGAGCAATTTGAGTATTTTCGATGGCTATACCTGTGCGTCTGTCCCTTGGAGTTGCTCCTTGAGCCCTTTAATATGTCGCTGTGCCGTCTGAAGTTGGTTCTTGAGCAAGAAGAGCTTGGTGCGAACGTCTGGTGGTCGGGTGGCAGGGTCCAAGCGGTCGATTTTCATTATTTCGATTTGCAAGGACCGTTCAGTTCGCACGTGGTCGTCAAGGGCCGCCTTCAACTTGACTTTTTCGTCATCATGGCGAATCGTGTCTTGCAGTCGTGTGAGGAGGGTGAGGGATTCCCCTGGAAAGCAATTCAATAGTGTTTCATGCGAAGTCGTAGCTACTAACCATCGTCGTTGTATTTGTACTTGTGCACAATGTCTTCAGGGAGAGAGCGAAAAATCTGCAGGAGTCGAGACAAGACGTCGTCGAGGCTAAGGAGGTGCTGGTCCAACAGGCGCCCTGCGGCGTCCACTGTCACCGCCTTCATGTACGGCGCCAGCATGACGACTGCCAAATGGTTAGCGAGAACTTTGGAAACACCAATGGCTCGAAGCACGAGCAAGGAGCATGCGGACTGGGATAAGTGCACTGACTGGGTCCCGTCTTGAAGTCGAGGGTGGTCGGCGAGTACGATCGCGCCGGTAGAGTGGAATTTTCTGGCGCAGTCTTGAGCCAACAACTTTTCCTTGGTCTTGAGCGAAAGACCAAAGGTGGATTGAACGACGTTGCGGCAATGGGTGTAAAAGAGTGCGCCTTCTTCATCCTCCAGCTCCCGCATCAACGACACAAACACGCCGAGCTGCACAATCACAAATGAGTCCACAACCGTTGTTGCAAAGAGAGTCGATCACGAACATGAGGAAACGTCTCGCGATGCAACTCCAAGTTATACACCAGGTCCAGCGACTCTTGGTCGGCCAGGGCGACGAGCCCCAACGTGCGCTGGAAATGTGTTCGAACAAATAATGGTAACGGCGGGGCGCGGTGCGATTCCATGTAAAACTACACAATCAAGAACAGATTCATGCAAAACATAAAAGTGGCGGACGCACTGCATAGTATCCGTCGCAGATTTCTTCGACGACTTTCAAGACCCATGCGATTGGCCGTGACCGAAATTGCCTCGCTGCCACCATGGTTTGACAAAATCGAGGGTATCGATGGTGCAGCACCGCCGGCGTGAGTGTGCACGACAAGAGTGATGTCGGCGACAACGACGTTGGAGGTGAAAACACCGTTGGCTTTGCGTCAAGATCCCTTTCCGACCGCGAGCTGAGCGATTCAAGCTGGACGATGTCTCGTGGTTCGGATTCGTCATCATGGAACTGGTTAATTTCTTGCGGTGTCAGGAGATTTGAAAGGGGGGATGGTTTGGAAGGTCGATGCGGGCCCGCCATGTCAATTCCTCGTAACCTACTCCCACGATTCTGTGTTGAGGAAGTTGGGACTGTAGACGATTATACTTGAGCTGAGCGTTGATGTATTCAATCTTCTCCATGTATGGCAGCAGCGTTTTCTTCTCTTCGAGCTCTGCTACTGTCATGCGCTAAATACCAGTGGGACCGTCAGCATAATCTCTCCGCATCCTGCCTTTTCACAGAATGGGCCACAAGCCGAATCGATCCTACGTACAAGTTGCTTTGTTGGGGTGGACGACGTTATAGGAGTCTCGGGATGGGAGTAAGATGCATCGATGAACGTGGGGCTCAACGGCGTCAAGGAAACTTCGTTCCTCATGAGCTTTCGCTTTTTGGACTTGGCCGATGCTCCGTACGGACTTTTCTTGGGCGGTGACGACGGCGGCATTCCATCGATGTGAAGTTTCCAAGTGTCGCTTGGGCACGGAATTGAATTGTAATAAATTCTCACTGGACAAATGTATGAGAGGACAAAAAACGACCAAATATTGTAAAAAATTCAAGTCTATTTCAACAACTTTCGCGCGTTTTTAGTCGTCTTCGTCGTCATCGCCGTCGACTTGTCGGTTTTCATTCTCCAACTTTTCAATCATCTGCAGGAACTCGCGCTCTTCGTTCACGCTCACGACCTTGGGTTCCATCTTCACGACCAGACCACCTCCCTTGGACTTGATGATGGTGTGGACAGCTTCGATGGCTTCGTGCAAGAGAGCGATCCCCTTCACCTTGTCCAGCGTGTTCGTCGTCATCACGTACATTGGCGGCGCGATCAATTTGACCTTGATTGGCACGTCATCCGTGCTCTTCAATTGGGCAGCGGTCAACGCTTCACGAATCGCTTCGATGCCTTCGTACGTGAAGCACGTAACTTCGATATCCGCTCGAATCTTGATGGGTTGAGCAGCAAGACGGCGACCGATGTGAGTACGCAGGGACGCCAATGTCGCAGGTTCAATGTTTAAGCCATCAAACACGGCAGGATCGGTGATACCCATCTTGAAGATGTCGTAACAGTGCAGGTACTCGACCTTCTTTTCGTCGTCGGCGCCCAATGGTTGCTCCATCTTGAACTTCTTGTACAAAGGCCAGCCAATCTTTTCGTACAAATCCGTCAATTCGAGACCTGTGTCTTGCGCGACTTGACGCAACACGCCATGGACGGTCTTGGCTTTGTTGTACCGTTCTTCGCACTTGATAATGTCTTCAGGGGAGACACGACGCTTGCTCAAATCGATGTATCCCTTTTCCTTGTCGACACGGAGCACCATGACGACTTCATTCTTCCCGACCCGAACCAGCTTGTTGATACTGCGGATGCGCCGCCGACTCAATTCACTGAGCAGAATCATCCCTTCGATGTTGTTGTATTCGAGCAACGACACATACGCGCCCATTTCAGCAATGCTACGCACATTCACCATGACGAGTTCGTCAATTTCGGGGAAGCGGCTCTCGTAGAAGCGGCATTGGAGCTGCATCAGCTCATTGCCTGCGTCGACGCCATCAATCGTCTGAGCCTCGTCGGCCTTTGGTGCAGCGCTCATGCCAACTGAAATATGCCACTGGATGACAGGTCCAAACTCGCCGCAGCTGAGCTGCATCCCAAATTTTATTAGCATGAAAGTATACTGAAACTCAAATATATTTGTTTAGTATTAATGTATGTAGACATCCCTTCGAAGTTCGATTCGCTCGAAGCATTTCGCACTTAACAAGACTGGAAAAATCCTATGAGAACCCGACCACAGTGACGGTGCTCGCCCCGATCGCAAGGTGGCGGCAGCGTTGGGGCTCTCTTCGCGGCGCTGCGACGGCAACCTTCAATGTTGGAAGAAGTTTCGACCCTTTGCAAGGTCGTTCTTATGGCTACAATACGTCCCCCGGTTGCAATTACTGCTCGTTTGTTTCAGGCCCCCGTCCAGTTTCGGACGCGTGTAGTCCCGACGCAACACCTCCAGCACGCGTGCATTGTGGTGGGCGACAAAGTTACCTCGAAGGAGCCTTGGCGGAAGGTCTTGGGCGCGGTAGTTAATGCTGGTTTGACAGTGAGCAATTAGGTTACAGTGCAAATTCGGAGTTGAAATCCGGTCACGGATTGGATAAAATTAGTAGGACTAAGCAAATCATGTGGAATTCTTCAAACATTTATAGCCAACGAAATGAGCCATACCGTCAACGGCGTTTCACGAGGAATTGTTGAGTTGACAACCGAGGACTGTATCAAGAATGGTCGACTTGCCCAACGATGTCGCGTGCCTCATGCGCGCTGTTCGAAATGGCGCGTACTACGGCACCAAGATCCGTGCGCCCCATGGTACTTCTGTCTTCGTTGTACTGTCGTAGCTGATGATGTCCCTCCCGGGCAGCGTTTGTCATGGTGATGCTCTTCCAACAGAAACCGTTGCGCGAGAAACTCCGCGGGATCGTCCAGCTCACGTTTGAACACACAAAAAACTTGGCGTACTTTGTCGGTGTGTACAAGGGAGTGCTTCTTCTCCTGAGGGAAGCGGACCGCGCTGTCGGGTTGTCTTCTGCATGTGTGCTTCGTCAAGGACTTAATCCGCTGTTGCCGTGGCATGCTGCATTTGCCGGCGCCGTCGGCGGGTATGTCCTTCTCTCAATACATTTATGTGCCCGATGATTCGAATCGCGCACAGGTATATCGTGTGGTCCAAGTACTCGGGTGTCAACTACCAAATTGTGCTGTACCTGTTTTCCCGTGTTCTTATCGGTCTCGTCAAGCTCGGGAGCGAAAAGGGGTGGCCCATCGTGAAGAAGTACTCGTTCCAGGAAGTGTACCCCGCTCTTGCATGCGTCACATGGGCCATTGTCATGTGGCTCTTCGAGTACCATCGCAATGTGCTGCATCCCTCCCTGTCCAAGAGCATGGACTTCCTGTACCACGATTCGAACTCGTGGACCACGATCCAGGACTTTTTGCCATCGCCCGCAACTGTCGCCGTTTTGGCTCTGTCTTGGGTCAACTTTTAACAACATATATTGCCTGCATTCCATCCGTTTTCCTTCGAGTGTGCCCCCTCTCGCTGTCGTACGCACTACCAAGGACACTGCGGTAATTCGCGAATGCCACGCTATGGCAACGCACACGCTTGACAAGGCTCAGCTGCCATCATCTTCACGGTATCAGTTCCACCTCGTGCCGTATCGCGCTCGGCGGTACCTGTCTGCGTTGAGTATGGCCAACAGCTTTGTCCTTGTCGCCGTAGAAATAATTCTTTGCTTGAACCAATGCATGTGAGACCAGCGACGTCATTCGCTCGCTCCAACAAGTTTGGCCGTACATGGGGGCCGTCGCTCTCGTTTACTCCGCCACCGAATCCGGTTCGTGGTCGGTTCTCGGGTACCCCGTCGACAGCCAGGTCGTCCGTCGATACATTTGCCATGACGCAGGAACCTTCTACGGACTCGGAGGCATTCTCATACAAATGTGTACTCGTGGTGGCTCTTCTGTCGGTGATTCATCATTGGGGCTATCAGAGACTTGCCGTGGCGTCCGTGTCCAGTAGGATCGGAACCATCGCCGCGGACGTGATTGCGGTCTCTACATGCAAGGATGTCTGTACTCGGTCCGCTACTTGGCGGGAGCTGTCGTCACCCCACGTTGCGTTCGGCCATAAAAATGTTACTGCTAGTCATAGCAAGATTGGTCTATAGTCCGTTCCTTCAACGCAACTTGGGCACGCCACCCAACGACCAAGTGCTCAAAACCTCCTCGATAGTGTACCTTGCATGCCTCGACAATCGCTGGCGCATAGCATGCGCTAGGCATACATCTCCCCAAGCAAAATCGAGCCGCTTCAAATCCCGCCAAAACGTATTTCTGTCGATGGACGTCTGCATCTTCCTACGCCAGGTAATTGTACATTTGGGCGTTGGTCTTGTCTCGCTCGAGGTACTCTCGATCGATCAAACTCTCGATGCGGCGCTTGATGTCGACGGGTTTGGCAGGAAACTTGAGCTGCACAAACAGTTCGCTCATCAAGAGCGCGTGGCTGAGCGTCTTGCGCGCCTTCATGATGCGCACGATCGCTGCGTCCACTTGGTACTGCCGCTCGCGAAAGACCGCTTCGTGTGTTTCAATGTTTTCTTCGGTCGTTTCCTTCATCTGGATCGAGTTGATCTTGATTCGCATCAACTGGTTCGTAAACCCAGCGTTGAAAACAAACTCGTCCGTGTCAGCCACGTCCCGACCCTGCAGATTCAAACAACGACATGGCGTTAGCATGGTGGGGGAGGGGGTGGGAACCCACCTTGGGTTGCTTGTTTAGCACTCGAACTTTGCCGCACGCAAGCGACTGCAGCGTGCGTCGCAACTCGCCGATTTCTACCAATATTGCGCCATCATCTTCCTCACAAGTCGACTGCACTCTAGCCTGCAATGACGTACCGATACCAGTTTCAGCAAGGATTTCCTTGAACCCGATCACGTCTCGGCTGTGATTGAAACAAAGGAGAACGAGGGCTTGAAAGAGCGAGACGGCCAGCTCCTTGCGGCCCTTGGGAAAGGTGGCCTTGACCAGGCAGTGGCCCAACGAGTGCTGCCACTGGAGCTGTCGTCCGCTGTACTTGGACGCGTAAAACGCCTCAAAAATCGCTTTCGACGGCGCCAAGCTTTGCGGCAAGTTGATTTCGGTCGGCACGTATGGCGGCCAAAAGCCCGTCGTCAGCACTTGCACGTGCATGTCAACCTTGTGTTCCAACTGGCTCAGCGCCATCCTAACCATACATGTGAGCTTTGCCACATGCGCCTGCGTCCGACCTGCTTGGGGCGTGCTGCTGAAACTGCGTCATGACATTGCGGGACAAATCAATGTCTTTGAACATCCCTTCCAACTACGAGCAACGATAAGGTGGTGCTTTGCCACCGGCGGATTCGACCTACCTTGGTCGTGAACGAGCTCCCGCATTCGGTTTTGAGCTTGGCGATCATGCTCTTCTCCAAGTCGAACGATGCACTGCGCCCGAGCAAGAGCCGCTTGGCCAGATCTTTCTTGTAAAACGCTTCGTACACGTCCTTGCCTTGGATGTATCGAAACAAAATCATGACGCGATCCAGTAGCGCTTCCACGTCGCGCTCAGAACCGTCCTTGTTGCCCGTCCTGAGCTTGGCGTCGACAAACTTGGCGATCAATTCGGCTGGACGAGACGCTTTGGCGTTCACGGCTTGCTCCATCGCCCCCTTCAGTGCATGGGCGAACGTCTGGTCCAAATCAAACGCTGATTGCAAAATGTCTACGCATCCTGCGTGTGGCACCGTCCATTAAAAAATAGGCATTTACCATCCAAATCGGCCTTGAACGACAGCAACGACGCCACCATGCCTTTTTCAACATCGGTACTCGTTGCTGACACATCCATCACGATTGACGTGCCGCGCGACGCAATGTACTTGGCCCAACTCGCCCGAAGAAGCGGCAGTTGGTTCACGCGGCCCCACAGGTCGTACATGCGACGCAGATCGTCGAGGCGCTTGGCGGTGGCCAATTCGTCGAACCCGCGCTCGAGAAGGAGCGATGCATGGGGACTTAGGAGTTGCGATTCCAATACCTGAAACAACATCGCGCATGATGCAATCATCCATGGAGATCGATCCAATGGCCGAAATGGATGGCCCCAAAACGACAAAGGGGCGTACCTGCACAATGCCCTTCTTCGTGACAACGTTGCCATCCAGGACACTGGCGACCCGACTGTGTTCTTCCGCCAAGCGCTTCTCGACATGAAGCAACAACGACCCGACACTTGCCGTCTCGAGCAACTGTTGTCCTTCCTGTGCGTAAAAGACTTCGGATGCCGCCAGGAACGGGCGCTCCACGAGCTTGGTGTACATGTGCAGCGCTGTCGCCATGCGGACGAGCGACTTGAGATGGTGACGCTGGACCTGTTCCAAACATCGCATCTCGTCAGGACCTCGAGAGAACGTCGATAGAGCTCGGTCGCTCTCTTCACTACGGGGTATGGGATCGGACGCACCGTTTCGCCGTATCGTTCCCGCTCAACTTCTTGGAGAAACGCCGACGTGACCTTGGCCTCGAGAGCGGGAAGCGTCAGCATCGTCGCTTTGAAACAGCCGATGCCCATGTCGTAGATGGACGCAACGCTTGTCGTTTGAATGACGTACGTTCGATCCAAGTACAGGCACAGATTTCGAATCATGAGCAAGTCGCTGCAATACTCTTCCCAAATACCGACCATCCGCTCGACGAAGACAGCGCTTTCCATGAGCAGGATGCCGTGCTCTTCACATGCACACTTGAGCGTTCGTTCAACGTATGCGGCCAAGTGCTTCTGGAGGAGGTCGTACAGCCACGCTGCCTTCTTCTGGTGGCACAGATCCGTCACCAGCCCATACAATTCTTCCCATCCCAAACTGTTGGACAGCGCCGTCGCGTCCGACTTATGCTGTAGACATAGCAAGGACGTCTCCAAGTGCTTCCATGCCTTCTCCTCGAATCCTTCCGGCACGCTCGGCGCCTGCTTGAACGGCTTGATCACGATCTTCCTCGCCTTTTTCATGGTCGTCCTGCCAGCTCAATTCGTCCAGCACCCACGCGGCCTTAACGAATTAAATAAGAAACGTTCAATATTAGATGAATGAATTCATTTATCAACTTATTCTGCATTTTCAAAGGTGGCGCGCAATTGAGACGTTGACAACGTTACAGGCGCTGCGGCGCCGGCACGGGCGCGCCAGAGCATGCACCTTCGCTCTACGTCGATACATTCTGAGTCATTACCGCAGCCATGCCACGAGGATTGTGAAAGCCTTTACATCCCGTTCAAAACCTGGTCACCGTGCAGCAGCGAGGTACCACAACAAGGTAGCTTTGCATGAAAACTCGACGAGGAGGTTCGTTTTCGATTCGAGAGTTTACTCAAACTGTTAAGATGATGCGATTTCCTATTGCAGCTTTGTTCGCGCCGTCGAGCGAGTGTGGCGACCAGATGTTGGCGCGGGCGTTGCGGCAGCACCCGAGGGCGTCACTGTTGCGCGAACTGGGGCCTTCTTGATGGACGACTTCTTTTCCTTTGTCTTTGAAAGGCTAGGCATGGCCCCTCCGTCGTCGATCTCTTGAGAAGCTGGGGTTCGCTTCGCAGGAGCCCGCGAAGCTCGATTGGAGCTTGGTTGCTTCCGCTTCGTGCCGCCAGTCTTAGAGACCTCGGATGCGGTTTCATGAACAGCGCCGTTCGGCAGCGGACTTTCTTGTTCTGCAGCCTTCTTGGAAGGCTTCGATCTCCGAGTAGCGTTTGTGCTGGTTGTTCCCGACCGTTTGGTAGGCTTTACAGCCACTTCCTTCATGTCCCGTAAAACGACGAGTTCTTCGGGCTGAATTCATACCTCTCCCCATTGGTACGGGCCATGCAGCGGCGTCGATCTCGCGATCTGCTTCAACGTGGTTTCGAAGTAGGCGTAGTCGGGCTCTTGGTCAAACGCGCACTCTTGAATTCGACGAAGCATTGTCTTCCATCCCACTGGTATCCACGTCATTCGTCTTCGAATTCTATCGGAGCCAAGTACCTGCCAGGCCGGCGCAGAGCTCGTCGGGGTCGCACTTGTACTTCAGCTGTGCTCCTGCAGCGTCCGATGTCGCAGCCTGCCACGGAAGGTCCCCGCGGATGAGGTATAGACACACGTACAACATCGCTTCGATGTCATCGCGCCGTGCAGGAGCTACGCCACGCCGTCAATGCCAAAGCATATCAACAGTTGTGTCCTACTATTGCCAAGATGGCAGTGAACGCTGGAGAAAGTGGGGGTCCCGACGACCGGTCCCATCTTGTGAGGTTTGTGCGCGCCAGTGACCAACAAATATCGCTCGGCAATGCCAAAGTCCACGCAATAGACCTACCGCAGCACTCACGTGAATTGCATTGCACATTGGTCTGAACCGCGCAGCAACGGAGAAGGAACGTACTTGATCCTCGCGCCCCCGAGATAACATAAAGTTATCGGGCTTGACATCGACGAATAGAAGCTTCCGTGCATGCAATTGTCGCAGGATGCTTAACTACACGCAAAAAGGTGGGAAGGACGATGGATCGTTGAGCTGGATGAGGAGGAGACGCACAATGTTCAGTCCGAGCCGGGACACAGTGCCCTCAGGAAGCTTCCCACCGTGCGTGGTTTTGACTTGTTCCAGCGTGCGACCGAGACGTTCGAGTACCAAGAATCGATACCCCTTGTCTTCGCCATACGCTCCCGTAGCTGGCAAGGCGGGGATACCTTCAAGCCCTTGCAACGTATTAACGTACAAGAGGTGCTCTGCGTACAAAGCATCCGCACTTCGAGCTGCGTGTGTCTTTTTCTTGCTCGGCGGTGGAATTGGTGACAATTTCATCGCATACGTTTCCGCACTGTTTTCCTTAGGCGTGACTACTCGACACGATGCTCTTCTCTCACACATGTGCAGTCGTGGACATGCCGCACGTACCAACGTAGACGTCGCTGCACGCGCCGCTTCCGAGCTTGTCCCCAAGGACCCAGTTCTTTAAGATTGTACCTTTTGCCAGCATCGGGCAATTCTCCAAGTGCTGACTGTGAAATGACGCGTTATCCGGATAATGTCGGTGAGATGGGAGTACTGCCGCTCATTCGGGCATGAAACGAGCAAGCTCAGTCCGAAGCATGCCAGCCCCAAGCCTGCCAGCACCACCTAGCCGTGAGTTGAACGCGACTTCTTCACTCATTCGAAATCAATGCAATGGATAGTGCCGCGATCTCGGACTGGGTTGACCAAATTGGGTTCATCTCTCGGGTGCGCTAGCACAGGAGCCCCAACGGCACAGCCATGTTGAACATGCAGAACAGCATGTTAAGTGGCTTACGGTAGCACGCATTCTAGCGCGCCATCTTGGAAGGAACAGAGGAAGCAAATGGGGCGCTTGCAGAAGTCTGCACCTGCGTGCCGCCGATCCAAAATCCGCTCGAATCGTTTCGCATCTCGTAGTGTAACCGTCGCAGTATTCGGACATCGACACTTCACTGCGCGGAGTGATCGATGTCCGCCGCGACTTCGAGCGATCGACACCTGTCCAACAAGTCCCTCATCGCTCCACAACGTATTCTCCATTATCGTGAACAGCGGTTCAACTAATTCTGGTTTCTTGTGTAGTGCTCTCCTGCACGGTCGTGGTTGGGACGACGGAGCTCCCGTGTCAGTTCGAGTACCGTGACTACGTCCAGACACTAGTGAAGCTGGCGCAGGTACATTTCGTAAACGAACACAACGGAGACGCAAGTCAGCTTGTGGGTCTACGGAATCGGCGCACGAACCGCGGTATGTCTTCCGTATTCCAACTCACGGGGTGAAGAGCGTGAATAGATCTGTACTACTTCAGCGCGGCGGGGGAAGAGATTCGAAATGGCGACGTCTTGGAAGGTCGACCGTACACTGCAGCGCCGCCAACCGTCAGCGAATCCGCCATGTCGTACGTGTCTTCATGCCCTTGCGGCGGATACCTCACCACATTCTAGCATCGCATCCACAGCGAACCGCAGGTTCAAGAAACAGATGGGGCGTCCTGGCATCTTCTCGCTCGTCGTTCACTCAGCCCAAGGCTTGACCGAATGGACAGACAAAGGCCTCATTGCCACCGTCCAGCTCCAGCCGTACTCCACTCGAGAGGACACGTCAGAGAGCCTGGCGCATCACTGGAATGCCTCCATGACATTCAAGCACCCCGATCCGACCGCCGAACACCTCTTCCTCGACGTCACGCTGCGCCACATCACTCATACGCTACTGTCGTCAGAATCCTCCACATCAGCGCCATCACATCGCGCCGACGTCGTTGTTGGTACGACCACCCCATATTCCATCCATGGATTGATGAATGGCTTGCAGGACACGTTCGAGTGCCAGTCAGCCGGTGCATCCTTACTCCGGGTATTTCGGTGACAGATGCGATTCCGATCGAATCCACGATTGTCCCAACGTTGCCTTTGCTGTCGTCGACCGCGGCACCACCAGCGCGAACGCTTGTCCTCACGTATGCCTTCCACCCGAGCGTGTACAACGGTTCCGTCACGGGGCTGCCGACGCTTCCATTGCCCTTCGCGGCCAAGATTTACAACTCAGCGCTCAAACCTCGCCGGGGGTCAAAACCCGATTCAGGTGCCGTGCGAGATGCCACCGCCACGACGGCCGATTCCACTGCCACCATCGTGACGTCCCATCCGTCGAGAGGGTTCCTGTCTGTGTTTGTGAAAGGCGTTCACGTGTGTGGTCCGCAGTGCTCGAAGCTGGACGGCCATAGCTCGCTGTACGTGCCGGATTTTGACCCGATCGTGTCGATCGGGTTCGAACAAACCACCAAGGAGGTGTACGCCCGCGCGACCGAGTGCCACACCGTCGTGTTCAAGAAGAAGTTTGACGTGCACAGTGTCAACTCGGAGTTCACTGTGGACTTGCTCAAGCCGATGGCGATTGCCGCGTCGCCGAACGCGACTCGTCTCAAGAACGGCAAGCAAGCGGTAGGATTTCCCAGTCGTGGCGGATGGGTGGTTGACTGGAATGCCAGATTCGGTACGGCAGCGCGAGCGTCAGCATGGCCGAGCTCCTTCAGCGAGAAGGCGCAGCATGGACGATGGCCCCGACGCCGGCGACGCTCGGGCCCGGAAAGAAACCCCCCGAGCCCGGGTTTGACTGGTACATCCTGCGCCAGTCGGACGAAGAAGTTGGGCTCGTCCAAGTCCAAGCAATCTACCGGGAAAACTACGCCACTTTCCTGGACTCGACGCTCCATCCCGACGCGACCTATGTGCGGCCCGACGAAGTCGAGTTCAACGCAGACTTGATCAAACGCAATATCGAGCGTCTCGATGCGCTCATCCGGTCGATTCAAGTGCGACTCGTTCCTTTCAAGACGTTTTCCTCGGTCGAGTGGTGGTGGACTCATGTCCTCGGTCGTTGTAGAGTGCCAAGATCGTCATGCACGAGCTGCTCGAGTGGAAATCGCCGGTCCTGACGGCCGTCACGTGGGGTAGCATGACCCTGGGCGTGTGGTACTTTCCAACCGCGCACGCCCCCGCCGTCGTCCTCGTCATTCTCGTGGTTGTGCTCGCCGTCAACTTTCAGCACCACATGCGCGGCGGTGTCGCACGGCAATGGACATACCACGACCCCGACGAAGTCAAGATGAAGATGTTCCGGTCCATTGCGACGCTCCGCGTCGTCCCGCTCCAGGCCGACAACCTCGTCCAGGTCACCAAGGACGAGACCAAACCCCGGCCGCTCGATTCGTACGTGCGAATCGTGTACGAGCCCAACTTTAACGAGCTGCCGGAGCGCCTCATTGCGCAAACCAACACTGTCGCCAACAGCACCAACCCTATCTACGGCCAGACAAAACCGGTCCAGGAAACCAACGGGACCCTGTCGACCGGTGCGAGCTCGTCCAACCTGAACCCCGCTACCAAGCCCGCCGCCCCAGATATTCGAACCCTCAACAACAAGTGGTTCAAGGATCTGTTTGTTCACTTGAGTCCGCTGGCGAAAGACGGTAATGGCCGTGTATATTTGGCAACCTCGCTTGTCGCTCACACTTCCGTGTTGTAGCGGTGCTTCATGACGTTGTCGAGGCGTGGAAGCGGCCAGACAATTCCGCTGTGGATCTCCACGCTTTCAAGTACCCCCTGCTCCAGCCCGTGCAGACGAACGCTGTCACGGAACTGGAGGAAATCCTCGAGTGGGATGCGACGCCAGGGGTCATTCGCTTCGACGTGATTCAGGACAACCCGGTGACCGCGTCACAAAATGTACTTGGCCAGGTTCGGTTGCCACTCAAGATGCTCGTGACAGCCGGGCGGCTGGGGGGTGCCCAAATTGAGCTCCACAAGGCATTTGCGCTGCAAAACACGCCCCCGCCCCCACAGACTGACGTCGATCCGTCGCTGCGTCCAGAGCCGTCGTTAACGGTCCGAGCGCAGCTCCTCCTGCGGGACCCGTCCAAGCGCGTCACGTGGAAGGAGCGCCTTGCGTCCGAGGCCATGTACTCGGTCCTCGAGATGGAAAACGCCAAGTCCTTGTCTCTCGTGGAAAAGTATCACATGGCCCGCAACGTGGCGCGCACCATCCAGCACGAACTCGGCAAGCTCGCCGACTTGCTTGAGCGCATCAAAAACTTGTTTTTGTGGACACATCCCCAAAAAACCGCCCTCGCGTGCGCCGCGCTTTGCGTCGGCGCCACCGTCACGGCGATCATTCCCGCCAAGTACTTTGTTCTGTACTCGATCACCAAAAAGGTACGTCGTTGCCTGGATACGATCCGATGCTCACGTGGCAAACTAGTTTACCAACCGCTTCCACCGCCGATGTGACTTTCGCCTCCTCGACCAAGACGTGATTCGACTGCTCAACTTTGTGTCGACGTTCCCAACTGACCTTGACGAGCAAAAGGTCGGCAAAGGCATCACGAACTTGTATCACGTCATCGCTTTGTCTAGATGTTTCGCCATGCAAACCAAGCCTACTTGCGCGAAAAGGAACACACAGCGGCCCAGGCCAAGCTGCAGGCCGACTGGGCTGGCTACATCTACAAGCGCGGCGAAGGCGTGTTTGTTGGCTGGGCGGTACGGGCAACTTTGGTCGTTGTGGCCCGCTGTTCGCGACAACAATTGTAGCATCGGTATGCCGCCGTGCGCAACGGCAAGCTCGAGTACTGGAATGTATGGCCTTGACATGATCGCGTTCTCGATCTGACATGCCGACGACAGACTATCGACGATGCCAAGCACGGTGTGCCTCCCAAAGGCTACATCGTTCTCTCCCCAACGATCGATAAATGCACCAAGGCCGAGGTTGCAAACGCCCCCAAGGACACGTTTCCATTTGTCGTGTTCAACGTGGACCATCGGCACTTGCTCGCGTCGTTGGACGGCCGTAAGCGTGCCTCGATCGGCATGACTGGCATTGTCATGTTGGTGTAGGGCGGCGCATCATTGCGGTCACGACGGAGCAAGACTACCAAGGCATTGTTCGGGCAATTCAAGACTCGAGTTAGCCATGCGTGGTAATATTGAATGGATGGAGTTCGATGCTGCGACTCAACCCGGCCCAATCGAGCATTCGCGGAACTGCGCCGGCTTTGCCCGCCTCGCCGACTCTTCCCGGTGCTGAGTGAACCGCTTCAACAAGACTTCCTTGCGCTCGACGTTCTTCACTTGCATGTCGACGTGTTTTCTGCGTGCACGGCATGATACAACGCACGAGCGACAAGACACGGCGGTCGACGTACCGGAACTCGGCGTACTTGTCCTTCATCGCGACCCCTAAAAAGTCAAAGAGCCCGTCCGTCACGGTGAGGAGGCAATCGATGTTCTGCGCCGACTGGTCGAGCAGGGCTTTGTCCCACTTGACGTCGATGTCCAACGACTGTTTGCACCACTGCATCCACGTCTTGACCTTGCCTTGAATCGACTCGAGCTTCTCGACGAACTTTGCTGACGCCTTGGTCTCCAGTGGCGGTGGCGACGACAGTGGCGTGAGCAGCTGGGGCGTCGAATGTCTGTGGTGGTGAGGCCGCGCGTGATCGTGGGTAGTTTGAGGCCGCCATCCCTTCTTGGGGGACTTCCACATCCCATCTGCTCCCCCGAACTCCCTGGGTTCTCCTTTGGGACGTCCAACATCTTCGTCCATCGCCTCAGGATGCGCGACAAAGTCGAAAATCCACTCGACGTTGGCAAGCTTTGTCCAGAGTCGCATGGCCGCGCGCAGAATCGTCTGCATTGCGTGCTGCGACTCGATGTGCAGCGCTTGTTGCTCTCGCACCTTCCACATCTTCTTCTCTTCCGTCCGTGCTTCGATGAGCTCCTTCAGTTCATTCTCGAGTCGCTTTGTCTTGCGCAGAGCCTTCTCCAGTTGCGTCGACGACGTTTCCTGGCTCGTCTGAGCCTGCGTCAGTTTGAGCGTAGTCTCCCCCAGCTGACTCTCCAAAACGGTGCTGAGCAAGTTCACTCGGGCGAGCTCCTTCTCGAGCCACTTGCACTTTGCTTCCAAGCTTGCCTGCCCACCAGTGAATGGGACGTGTGCACATCCAGTTGGACGAACCTTTTGCCTGTTGATCTCGACCTGAATCATCGCGCGCTCGTGCTCGGCTTCTTTAACCTTGACCGCCCACTGCTCGATCTGCGTGCGGATGTTTGCGATCGCGTCGTCCTTCTCCTTGAACGCAACGTCCCGCTCTGCTTCAGCCTGCCGCTGCAACGTCACAGCGACCACGTGGTCTGCTTGCGCTTTTTTGGTCTGCACAATACACACTCCATATACCTCGCGCGTGACATCTTTCACAAGAGGAACGTACCAGTTCGCGGGCGGCATCGCGCTCGCATACAGCGTCGTCGCGCATTCGCACCGCCTCCTCCTCGCACTGCATTGCGATCTCACGCATGTGCTGGACTTCTTTGGCGTATCGCTCCGCCTTTTGCCAGCCCTGTAGGGCATTCTGCTTGGCTTGGGACTCGTCAGCGACCGTCGCGCGCAGTTTGTCCACTTCTAGCCGCATTGCTTCCACCTGGAGCTGCCGCTGCTCGTACAGTCCTCGATACGTGGCATAGTCGGTCTTGACTTGACTCATCTGGCGCTCCATGTCGTCTACGTGGAATAGCAAACGGTCCCGCTCGATTCGCAGGTCTTCTTTGTCCTTCGAGACCTGGAGCCAGTCGCCCACAGCTTTCTCCATTTTGGACAACGCGTCGTCGATCTTGCTCTGTACGAAGTCGCGCTGGGCAATGGCCAAGTCGCGTTCTTGTTCGCAACAGTGCTTTCCCCCTACTCGCGCTGTCAGCATATCGTTGCAATGACACGAGGACAGGGACCATAGTGCTTGATTTGCAGCGCCAAATCCGCATTCCCCCAGTGCATGGCGACATCCGCGGGCGTGTTCCCGACCTTATTCGTCGCATTCAAGTCGGCGCCAACTCGAATCAAATGCTCCAACACACGCGGTCGGTCCCATAGCGCGGCCATGTGAGCAAACGTGTTCAATGAGTCGTCCGTGACTTTGGTCACATTGATTTGGAGGCTTTCCGCCTTGGAGAACTCGCGCAGAATCGTGTCGTCGGCGTCATCCACATCCCACAAGTCGTTGTTTGTGAAGAGATACAGAAGTTTTTCCTCGCCGCCATTGCCGCCGCTGGTCATGGTGCGCCACTCTTGGCTCAGCGGCAACAGTTCTCCATCTATGGTATAAATAGATTCCCGGAATA